ACCTCATCATACGTCGTCTAGCTCCTACAATACACACACCTATACTGGTGTGCTGGTGCGCATTAGAGCCTTTAATTACCATTCTATATTAATGCGATGCTTACTGACACACACACACACACATTCAAATATACATATATATATATATATATATATATATATATATACGTATATGGCCAATGATTCAACCAGTTATTAATGCCTATTTTAGCATGCTTGGAGAGAAAAATGTTCGAATTATGTAATTCATTATAACTTTTATGTCTCATTTAGTTAGTTTGACCACCAGAGGGCCTCAAAGGGGAAAATGAACCACCAGAGGGCCTCTAAAAGAGATTAAATATTTTACAAATTATTTTTTTCTAAAAAAAAATAAATAAAAAAAATTACGAAAACATAAATCAAATGTAAATTAAATGCATGTGAATGAAATTAATTTTGTGAATGAAAATGGTAAATATTCTTTGCAAAGTACACACAGTATATTCAAGAATACTTGAATACTTTAACTTACTCACATCTCTTATATTGTAATATTGGGAAGAAAAAAAAATATTGTTAACAATAAAAAAGTATTTTCCAGATAATAATAATAATAATAATAATGTTTTTGCATTTGCATAATGACAAATAAAATTCAATAATATAATTTTTGATGAACGAACATGTCTTTATAATAGCACACAATATATCAGAATTAAAATTATTAAATTTTCTCACAATATATATAAAAAAATATTTCTACATAAAAATATATAGTTTAGCTGCCTTTATATTTTAGAAGGTGCAACCCTCAAAAAAGGCATCATAATATTTTAACCCCATTTTATCTTCTTGCAATTGTCAGTGCTGGTTAATTGTTTTGCTCCATACTAAATTTACTTTATCTACTGGAATCTGCTGTTCCTGTATGTGAATACTGGCTGCAAAAGCCTATTAACAGGATCCTGAGTGTAATTTATATGTAAATGACTGAGGAGAGACTCAAAGCCTCCGCTAACGGTGTAACTGCCTGTCTTTGCAATTTTTGCAATCTTATCATCTTTTTTTCTGTCAGGGGTAATGTAATCGGTCAACAGGATAGGTAGAATGGCATCGTATTATCAAAGAATACAGATTAATCTGAATCTAGAAGAAATGCAATGAAAGCAGCCGATCTTTTTGAGTGTAACTCACATTGCGGTAACATCAGGTATAAAGTATACAACAGAAGATAAAGGCAGAACTATAAGAGAATATTTGCTTAAGTTCAGGACAAAAGTGGCACAGTGTGTCAAGAGTGACATGAAGAGGAAGAGTCATGCGCTAAAATCATTGCCTTGCAGCTGCAGGTGGCTGTAAAATTGCGCCCTCTAATGGAGACAATAGACATTGCCTTACAACAAAAGCAAACGGATTCATTTCATTTCTCCTTAGTGACTCATC